ACCGGGAGACCACGGGTGACCACGCCTATTGAAGACCGTCACATCCGGGTACTTCACCTTCGGAACCGCTTCGTAACGGCGACGTTAACGGCACGGACGGCACTGGGACACGTGATAAGTCGACAAACCGTGTACAGGAGACTGCGGGCACATGGTATCCGAGCATGTTGCCCCTACCGCGGAGCGTTCCTGACACCTCAACACCGACTGAACAGACGGATATGGGCCAGGCGACTTCGACGGTGGCAACGGTGGAACTGGGCACGTGTCATGTTTTCTGACGAAAGCAGATTTTGCATCTTCAGGAACGAGGCCGGCAGCGTGTGTACCGAAGAGTAGGTGAACGTTTGGCACCGAACTGCATCCATCAAGTCAGGCCATATGGAGACGGAGGTTTAATGGTTTGGGGTGGAATCTGCGGTGACGTCAAAACGAGACTCGTCGTTATTCGAGGAAACCTGAATGCGCAGCGTTATCGTGATGACATCTTACAACCAGTTGTGGTGCCATTCATCCAACAACAGCCTAATGGTAACATTTTCCAGCACGATAATGCGAGGCCTCACACGGCAAGGCTGACCCAGAACTTCCTAGCAAACGCCAACATTCACGTTTTACCATGGCCGGCATGTTCACCGGACATGAACCCAATCGAACACATGTGGGACATTCTCGGCCGCAAAGTCAGGAATCGCCCTGTGCCTCAAGTTAACCTCCAGGAATTGGAACAATGTCTCCTCCATGAAAGGGCAACGCATCTCCCCCCCCCCCCCCCCCCCCCCCAACGTCATCAGACGTCTGACGTCATCAGCCCGTAGTCGTGTACTAGCGTGTATTGACGCTCACGGTGGACATACCCGGTACTGACGTGACTTTGAGACATGTGTTGTGACATTTTCCACACTTGTCTCATCAACTGTGATCAAATGAAATTTTCATTTTGGACCCCCCGCGTCTTTACATGTCTGTCCTCATGATTGTAAAGGATTGATTACAATGAATTGTTGTACACATACTGTGAAAACATTACTCACAAGTCATATACCAATTTGAAATGTCTGTATCGTTTAGTTTTTTTGTAATGTCCTTTCAAACACGTGGTATCGTTTCTTTTGAACATTAGTTTAAATAAATTAAAATGACCCGGGTGTCATACAAGACTACGTTCAAACTGAACATATATTGATGAAAACCCCAGCAGGTTCCTCGTTTGGAAAAGGTCATATCAGACTAATATATAACAGATGAACAAACATGTCATGGCATGATAGATTTACTATAGTAATATGAAAGAATCGGTTGTTCATTAACTTCTTATATTTTTTAATTTGAAGTTTACGCGATATACGTCCTTTCCATTGGACGAGAGGTCGGTCACATGGCCGCGTAATCGACGTTCATAAGAGTATGAACGCCACAATTTGACGTTCATACGTTTTTCACGAGACCGTGTTCTTGAAATGACGTAGACACTGACGAACTACTTCCACATTCCTGGGAGAACCCCTGGGAAGTCCCTAGCACGAATTCATACAGAAGCGTTGTTTCTGGTCATTTAGGTCCTTTAATCTTGAACTCAGCGTTTTAGAATACATTGAGAAACGTCAGAGAGTTTGACTGCGACATCGTTTACGAATATCCTCGCAACGACCCATCCTAATGAATAAACGAAGAAATGCATATCTAAACTATCGTAGTATCGACTCGATTCGTGTCTATGCTGACAGTGACCGTCTCCAGCAATCTATGAATTTACCTTAGTGTCTGTTTGACGCATCTTTATTCACCTTTCAATGATCGGCCAGTTGATCAATGATGACTAACACATGTAACCGCCACTGGTTCGTTAACAACTTCGGAAATCTCTCCCATCACGTTTATCGTGTCGGCCATTTTGACGTCTTGTACTTGATGTAAATTTATTACGACGCGCTGTCATTGTGACTGACTTGCTGATGTAGTTCTTTACAGACCTTTCTCATCTAATGAGGATATGATTTGAACACATGTGCTGCGTAAGATGTTTCCGAAGAGCAAGTTGTGCATCCATACGCCCATGTCACCTCTCTTTTTGAGGAACTATTTTACTCCGCGATATAGCTGGTTGTTGTATGGCTGTCAGTGTAAACATGAAGTCACGCGTACTAAATAAAATTGTGTTTAGATCTTGGCCTACATCCTTTGAGGTGCGAAATTGTGATAATTTTGTTTTGATAAGAATTGACTTTCCCTTTTTGTGAGTTCATTGGAGTATGAACCTTCATAGAGTGAGGGCCAAACATTGTATAAACGTCGTCGCAATCTCCGACGTTCATTCTATGAAGGTTCATACTCCAATGAACTCACACAAAGTGAAGGTCAATTCTTAAATAATATCACAAATCTGGAAAAATAACTCTGAAAAGTACCAGGTCGGGTTCAAGATTCTAAGATGATATTAATTAGTGGCACCGTTAGTCGCCTCTTACGACAAACGGGGGCAGGGGTGGCCCAGTCGTCTAGGGCGCCGCGATTCGCTGTGCAGAGTCGCGTCCCTTGGGCACGCCAGAAACCTATGATTGTGGGTTCGAATCCCGGTTCGCCCCGATTATGTTTCTAGGTTTGTCAGCACCATACCCGTGCTCGTGGGTTTCACCGAAGTGGTAAACGTCTGAGACCTGCATCACTTCGGGCTTTCCTCCCACATTAAGCTGACACGCCGTGATATAACTGGAATACTGTTAAAAGCGGCGTTAAACCCAACTCACTCACTCACTCACTCTTACGACAAACATGGGATCTTCACGGGTGGGACCGTTTATTGAAAAGAGGCATGTGTCGGTTGCACGAAACTTGTGTCTGAAGAGAGATTTTAGGTGCGCCTCATACTGAAAGCCAAATTCAACCTTTAACCTCGACAGTTTGAGCTGCGTGCAGTGCTAAAGCTTTTCATGTTACCTCAGAGTGGACAGAGTGATTGCTTCACGTGGTCTTGATAAAACACTACGTATCGCATCTGTGAGAGAAATACAAGTCTGAGCGGGAGAATACAATCTCTCTCTATCTCTCTCTCTCTGTCTCTCTCTCTCTGTCTCTCTCTCTCTCTCTCCCTCTCTCTCTCTCATATGAATATTTTGTTGCACTGTTGTAAGGATGCCGGGCAATTGAAAGTATACACTTGAAAATTGGATTTTACTCGGCAGAAACTGGTCGCTGAAACACCGCAAACGCAAGGCCCAAACACGACTGTGAGGTACCTATCGATCGACCGCCATCATATAGCTGTAATATTGCTGAGTGCGGCGTTAAACAACAAACAAACCTGTCGATCGAATAGCCATTTCTTGCGGGTTATGTGCTAGCCCACAGAGATACCATGGGGCAGTTTAACATGAAAGCCCCACTCAGACACAGTACACTGACTCCGAGCCGACCAGTCCTTGTTTGTCAAATCAATGAAAACATGTCTATCACTTTTTCAACACTTAAAGGGAAAGTGTACACACACAAAATCACGTTCTTTCTCATTTTAAACAAAACGCAATTTTAGAATTAGTTAGTATCAGTGTTTGAAAATATACACTCATTTTTCTCACAGTGAAAGTAGGAAGCTCACAATAAGTGTCACACACATGTACCTACACCACGTGAAACGAGTAATATAGTCTTATGACGTCATTCCTTTATCAATTGGAACCAGTGACGTCATATCGCAAGGGGCACAGGCCATGGTGTGTTTATTATGGAAATATAACTCTCAGTGTGTGAAAAATATTAACCGATTTAATGAATAAAATAAATTAGATACTTGTGATATGTGTATTGTTTTGCCTCTGAAACTACTAGGTCTATACTTGTCATGATGAAAAAGTACAAGAAAAACAGGTTTATTTGCGTGTGAACATGCCCTTTAAATTATTAGAATAGCTCTTTATGTCGATGTTGATAAGCTGGCGGAAACAGCGCGTGTCCCATGATGCACTGCGTGCAGTCGGTAAGAGCACAAATAGTGATTTCTAATGGGATAATGAATCGTACATGGCGACCTGTGATATTTGTAAGTGCGCGGATTCGATTCACAGTAATTGGAACACTAATGGTGCCATAACAAGCCGTATGTATCCACTCGCGCGTCTCCGTAACCGACATAAGGCTTGTCTCCGGACGGACACGAGATGATCATGAATATATTTGTATATGCGGGACATGAAACTGGCGGACAGTCGTTCAATGGGAGGAGCACGCCTTTAAAAACTAATACGTCATGTTTTACTGATGAAAATATTCATTCATGCCACTGTTCAAGCTACGTCAATAAGTTCATCATTGTTAAACACAGGAATGTTATAACATCAGTATGTGACACATCATAGGGTGGCTACGGGCACGTTATAACATGTTGATATGACACATTGTGGAGTGCACACGGGCATGTTATAACATGTCGATATGACACATTGTGCGGTGGCCACGGACATGTTATAACAATTTGATATGCTTCAAAGTCGGGTGACCACGGACATGTTATAACAATTTGATATGACGCTTGGTAGGGTGACCACGGGCATGTAATAACAATTTGATATGACACATTGTGGGGTGACCACTTGTATGTTAAAATTTGATGTATGATATATAAAAATTGTCGGTATGTTATAACATATTGCGACACAACAAAATGTTTCTTAAAGTGGCATTTGGAAGTTGGTATGATGAACAAGGGAGTTAAGGTATGTTAATAATTGATGTTTATAATGTTGTTTTGTGATTTGATAGGGACATGGGTGGCAAAGCGGTTATTGAGGCGCTTTGACCGTAGGCGGGTTCGAACCCCTGCCAGGTCCACGCCATGCCTTGCTTGTGGATTTCTGCTAAACGGCCTACCGTCTGCATCACTTCCTCAAACATTAAACCCACTGCACGAGAAATCTGTGCACAGCAATGTAAATCCCGCTCATGTTGACGGGTCTGAGTCTTTACTGTAACCTCGGGTCAAGGTCATGTGCGCGAGACTGCGTAAAGATGTTCTTGGTAAGTCGTGTTCAGAGAGCTCGGCATTGCTGCAATGTGTTGACAATTTTGGATATTATAAGATCTATGACGTATTTGAGGGAGAGCATCATCCATCTAGCGCTTGTTCCTAAGAAGATCGATAACCGAGGGAAGCGACAGTGCCGTAATTATGGCTTCGATCAATGAAAAATGTCGAAAGTATTCTCCAAAAGTGGCCAAGGTGCAGAATAGGCCTCGTCAGTGTGAGAGGCAATATTAGTCGCTAATTACTCAAGAAAATTAATGCCTAAAGTCATTCATTAGGCTTTGGAACGAAAGCGAGGCTTTACGTTTGCAGCAGACGACAGTGTTGAGGTTGGAGATGATTATTTCGCGCGGCGGCTGACCGACTGCTTACACAGAGAACAATTTCCGGCAATTCTTCAACAGAGCGCAGACAAAGATATTTACATCACTGTTGAACCATCACCTCTTTAACGAAACAAGGTAAGTGGCTTTGTCACATTTCATCTTCATCATCTGATTTGTTTCTCGGGAAGACTGCTGACGGGAAGACAGAAGCGGCTCAACCATCCCTCCCCGAAATAAGGCGGTGATACTCTTTACGCCAATCTGTACCACCTGGCGAGTCACACGTGGTGCGCCCTTCTCTGCTGGACTCTTTCTTAATACTCTTACGTACAATGACAGATGTAGAGACTTCTTTATCACTGAACGTGTTATTCACATAATTAAAGTCAGGCCTAAACAGAAGCCGTATATGGAGGGATGTGGCGAAGCGCTAATCTCAAACTTCCTATCTTCTGACGTCTCTGCACCGCGCTATAATGAGGTAATGGAGCCGGAATATCACCAATGTTAAAACATGTCTGGTCATTCATTTGTTGTACATATCCTAGATAAGCTCACAATTTCTTATAGGAATTGTCACATTGAAGAGGACTGCACCTTGGAATTGAAAAAGAAACTAAGAAGAATATTTATTTCGAAAACGCAAATGTTTGTTTGATACGCTGAACCAGCTTGTTACTGACTGAAAAGGCCAATGTGTTTCTTACGGAGGTCACGTGATGGCCACTTCAGCAACTCGCTGATGTTGTTTAACACACTCAACACCCCCTCCTCCTGCTAATGGCAAAATATTAAATGTAACCCCGCCTCTGGGTGAGTACAGGTAACCGTTATGAGCACAGGTAACCGTTAGGTGAGTACAGTTAACCGTTAGGTGAGGGCAGGTAACCGTTATGTGAGCACTGGTAACCGTTAGTTACTACAATGATCACAGTCGTGATTCTTGGTTTGCCAACCCCATCCCCGTGGTATATTGGTATACGTGTGAGATCAATTCGGGCTTTCCCCCTACATCAAGGTGTCGCGACCCGTGAAGATCCGGGGTAGAATAGGTCTTCAGCAACCCAAACTTGCCGTAAAAGGCGACTGTGCTTGTCGTGAGAGGCGACATAACGGGATCGGGCGGTCAGGATCGCTGACTTGGTTGATGCATGTCACCGTATCCCAATTGCGTGGATCGATGCTAATGATATCAATCACTGGATTGTCTTGTCCAGACTCGATTATCTACAGACCGCCGTCATATAAACTGACGTCCAAAAGAAACTTTACCAGAGTTTGAAATCACTCTTGCTCAAAAACAACAAAACATACATGCATGAAGTAAAGTGTATTGAGAAGATCAATATATCAACATAATCAACACTGAAAATGACAATCATACCGCGACCGAGAATGACGTCAGAGTCTCCCAAAGTTGGGTGTGGTACAAAACTCGAGCTTTCAGAATCATGGACAATAGGCAGAGTACATAAACAATCGCTCAAGTTCAGTAACAAGTCATTAGTAGCGTGTGTGACCACCAAATGCCTCAATACGCAAAAACTCTTCGACGCACAGAAAAAGTCAGTCGTCTGATGAGGTCACGTGGGATTTGACGCCATTCTTCTTGGAGGGCCAAGATCAGTTCTTGCCGGTTGGCTGGAGAGTGTGGTCGTTGTCGAACACGACGATCCATCAAGTCCCAGAGGTGTTCTATGGGGGACATGTCGGGTGAGCGTGCAGGCCACGGCAGGACGTTGACGTTGACGTTGTTGGCTGCGAGGACGTTAGTGACAATTCTGGCTGTATGGGCTTTAGCGTTGCCATGCTGATAAATGACACCACGTGGCTGCTGTTGGAGAAATGGTAGGACAACTGGACAAAGAATGTTATCCATGTAACGCTGAGCTGTCAAGTTTCCGTCAACGATGACCAGCGGTGTCCTCTCCTGCCGAAAAGATCCCCCCCCCACACACACACACACACACACACACACACCATGACACTCCCTCCACCATATGGTACGACCTCCTGCACGCAACACGCCGCCGTTCGTTCACCCCTTCGGCGGTAAACACGTTGTCTTCCATCAGCCCTTAACATACAGTATCGACTTTCGTCAGTGAAGACAACCCTCTGCCAGTCACGTCGTTGCCAACGTCGTACAGTCCGGGCCCATCTCAATCGCAGACGACGATGTTGCGCTGTCAATAGCTGTCCTCTGTATGGTCTAAAAGCCCTGATTCCATGAGCCCTGAGTCTCCTGGCCACTGTCTGTCGACTAACCCTGTGACCTTAGGCATTTGTCGCCGATGACATCACGGTCAGGAAGCGATTTCGGAGGTGCAAGGTACGCAAGTACCGGTCATCATGGGGCGTGGTCACCCTGGGTCTGCCTGGTCTTCGGCGGTAAACACGTTGTCTTCCATCAGCCCTAAACATACAGAATCGACTTTCGTCAGTGAAGACAACCCTCTGCCAGTCACGTCGTTGCCAACGTCGTACAGTCCGGGCCCATCTCAATCGCAGACGACGATGTTGCGCTGTCAATAGCTGTCCTCTGTATGGTCTAAAAGCCCTGATTCCATGAGCCCTGAGTCTCCTGGCCACTGTCTGTCGACTAACCCTGTGACCTTAGGCATTTGTCGCCGATGACATCACTGTCAGGAAGCGATTTCGGAGGTGCAAGGTACGCAAGAACCGGTCATCATGGGGCGTGGTCACCCTGGGTCTGCCTGTTCTTGGCCTATCAGCGGTCCGCCCTGTCTGTCCGTAACGTTGCATCAAGTTGGTAACGGCAACACGGGAGCAACTGAAGGTTCGTGCAATATGGGCGTGGGTGGCTCCCATCTGTACCATACCCAAGGCTCGTTCACGTTGTTCGACTGTGAGTCGTGGCATTTCTTTTGTGTGTTTTTTTATCACTGTGGATGTCTGACTTGCCGTTGCAATCGTTTTATACCCTTACCCGCACGTGCATTTGCAGTTGTCCGTGGTGCACGTGTTTTTCACTTTTTCGCTTGTTATCTCGCAAACATGTAACAGACGATTAACATTTTCTGCTACGCTATGTTGTATTTAGTTTATGTGTTTTAGATAGACTTCATCGAAAAAAAAATTATACTTTGTCTGAAATTTATATTTATAGTTGGTAAAGTTTCTTTTGGACGTCAGTTTAGTTGGTATATTGCTGAGTGCGGCGTTAAACAAAAAACAGACATCAAGGTGACACACCGTCATATAAACCGAAATACTGTCCAAAACGGCTTTAAACCCAACTCACTCACTCACCCACTCTTTCGTCTGTCTCCGCCTCACTTGTGGTCTCTGTACTGTTTGGGAGTGAGTGAGTATGGATTTACGCCGCTTTTAGCAATATGCCAGCAATATCACGGCGGGGGACACCAGAAATGGGCTTTACACATTGTACCCATATCGGGAATCGAACCCGGGTCTTCGGCGTGACGAGCAAACGCTTTAACCACTAGGCTACCCGACCGCCCCAGTACGGTTTGGGGTGGGGTGGAGTTGCCTAGTGGTTAAACGATTCGCTCGTTACGCACGCGTTCGATTCGCACGCGTCGTGAATATTGCTTAAAGCGGCGTTAAACCTAACTCACTCACTCTTAACGTTGGAATATACTCTCCAAAGCAACGGCTAGTGTGCACCATGCGCATGGGCATGAGCCTCCCGGAAGTTAGCTTTTACTGCCAGAGCACTCAAACATGCAATATAGTTGTATGTTACCTTAGATGAGGTTCGGTGAGGTTCGGTGAGGTTCGGTGAGGTTCGGTGAGGTGAAATGGGATTTAACGTCGCGTCCAATATGCATGCAAGTGTGTGTGTGTGTCCGCTTGTACTAGTCCGGACTGATGCTGATTTTATAGTGCTAGCCAAATGAGAGATACCATGCCGCAGTTTAACATGAATAATCCACTCAGACACCGTATACTGACCCCGAGCCGACCAGTCCTTGTTTTAGCCCCTTAATTCCGAGCGCCAGGCAGGGTAACAAAAAGTACCATCTTTTAACGTCTTTTGGTATTACGCGACCGGGGATCGAACCCCGGACATTCCGCTCCCCGGGTGGACGCACTACCATACCACTAGATCATGTATATGTAATAGTCGATTGATTTGTTGATGTTTCAAAATATTCCGATCGGATGTACGATGCTGGTTTAAGGTTACTACAGTAGAACACGGATATAACGAACTACAAGAGACCAGAGAAATCAGTTCGTTATACACGTTTTCGCTCGGAAACGTCCGCCATCTTGGATAAGGCAAAACACAATACACACGTAACTGCAGCATTGATTTGTATTAGCAGTGATCATTCTATTGATAACAATTTATAACACTCATTTAATAACATTAAATTCATAACATTTTCTGAAGATTGTTATCAAATACATGTACAAAATGTAAACATATTTATCATTTTTCGATTTACATACGAGATGTGTAGTCTGTGATTTTACTTTGGCCTCGTTTCGCTGACTGCATTCTTGAAATGGCATCGTTCAGATCCGCCAAACTGTCAAAAGATGTCATGTCTGTTGCTTTTTGTGTGTTTTGTATCGACCGATAGGTATTTTGTATGGCGATGAGATATATTTTCAAAACCATTTTAAAACCAGATATTTTACAATTAAAACTATGATCCTGAATTGTTATTTTTATGAAAATCACCCTGCAAGATGTAACGTTTGTGGCAGACAATGTCTTTTTTCAATAGTCTCAAGCAAAATTATTTGTTTCAAGAATTTTCTGGGATAATACATTTTTGTCGATGAAATCTCAGGCCCAAATTTCTCCTAGAATATCAAATGGTCAGGAACATTCTGACATCAGGGACTGGTTCGATCATTTGGTGGTACAGCGGTCAGACAATCGGCTGTTGCCAACAGCAACAGCCGTCACACTGATCTTAACTCGTTCCGTAATAGAACGCTGTGTTATGGTAAAAATCACTATGCTATATGGGACTCCTCAGCCCCCCCCCCCCCCCCCCCCCCCCAAACTCCCAGCCGCCGAGATAATTTATTATCCCAACGCACAGACATAAAGACATAAAACCTTATCTGGTTGTCATCGAGATAAGGTCCTTATGTTATCTTGTTCCAGCTTCAGTTGGTGAGGTGAGGTG